GAGAGACACACTGATGCATACGTGTCTGAAAGCCTCACAGGCAGAAGAGATGGAGGAGAAGAGATTGTGGCGTGATTGTCCCTCACTGGGATGCTTCCTCATTCTCTCTCTGTCTTTTGCTAATGAACTTGCATGCTCTGGCAAAATTTAAAAAAAAAATAATTAAAGCTTAATTCAATTTAATTTTTTAAAAAAAGAACATATACTAGAGTCCAATCATCTGGTTAGAATCCTAGTCCACTTCTTAGTAGACTGTGATTAACAGAAAGTTGCTTAAATTCTCTAAAAATCAGTTTAACTATTTTAAAAATAAAAATAGGAAGAATACTTACCCCATAAAATTTTTGTGATAAGTAAATAAGATTATCCATGTAAAATGCTGAGCACAGTGTCTGGCAAATAGCAAGCCCTCAATAGGAGGCAGCTATTACTACTACTACTACTATTTTACATAGCCACTGAAGTTTCAAATACACACACACACACACACACACACACACACACACAGAGTAATTTTATCTTTAGGGTTTTTTTTTAAATGTAGGCACTCTAAAAGATAAAGAGGAATCTATAAGAAGAGAGAGAAAAAGAGTGCAAGATTCTAGAATTAGAGAAATTGCTTGAAGATGGAATGAGCAATCATCTATCTGTGTGGAAAAGACCAAGACAAGAACCAACCACTGGATTCAGTGGTTATCATAATTTATATGATCATTTCTTTTTTTCTTTAGGTTTTTGCAAAAGAGTGTGTGCGCTTCCCAGAGACAGTGAGAGGGAAAGTGAGAACTAACCCCCAAGAAGCAATGACCATGCCACAATCCCTTCTCCTCCATTCTCCTCGGATTCTGAGCTTGGACATGCACAAGCGTCCAGGGTGATTTTTCAAGCCACCAGGTCTGGGACTCAAACTGCGGTCTGCTATGGGGAATCTAGTGCCTTAACCATCATGCCACCTGCTGGTCCAATTATTTCTTTTTTGTTTCGAGAGAAAATTGAATATAGCCTATTATGTAGTATCTGTAAAAAGGGTTTATGTCTTAGTGTATTATAAGTATTGGGAGGTTTCATAGTATAAACTGCTTCAAACAATTTAATTTAAATAGAGTCCGTGGTAATGTAATGAAATGAGTTGTCCCAAGAGGTTCTGTATATATGCTGTCATGTCTGTAAGCTAAATAACTTTCCCAATTTGGACTCCTGCTTTTATTACAAAGCCATAAAGTTAATAACATCATCCAGAGACTATATTACCTGTGATTACATTATTTTACATAATTATACTTGACAGAAGTGATTTGAAAAGTAATATGTAGACTATCTCTAAAGATAAAAAGAATTGAGTGAAGTAGTAAGAACGTAGTTTAAAAAAACTGTGATAAGGTGCTATTAAAGAAAAGAATCTGACCTAAGCAATGGCTCCCAAATCAGGATACACATCAGACTCACTCACAGGCTTGACAGAAAATGAAGGATGGGCCATGGTGCAGGGGTAACCCAAGTGTGGGATAGGTTCCAGATTCATGTCCCACGACATCCCTGAACATGCTGGTCAGGTATGCATGGGCCCATAATCTTGGTTTGCTGGGACTAGGGAGTTGATCATGATGTGAAGACCCTGTGGGGGGATGTCTCTCCCTCTCTCTCTCTCTCTCTCTAATGTGATAAATAAATCAATTTGCTGGACCCTTGATCTAGACTTACTAAGTCAGCAGCTCTAGGGGTGGGCCCTGGGCAATTATTTATTTTAAAAGACAGCACAGGTGACTCCAGTTTGTGAACAGCTGCCCTACACTGTCCCATACATGCTGATCATAGTGTATGGACTGCTTAACCATCTGCCTTTGTAAACATAGCCTGATAACACCATTGAGGCAAAGGGTCAGCTTGAGACAGTTTTACCAATTAATATTACAGTTGTTTCTATAATATATGAAATCTGGGGACCTCTGTACATTCAGGATCTCAGCTGTCATGAACATAAAAGGGACTGTCTTCTGAGTCAGTCCTTCATCACTCCTTCTTCCCCATTCAAAGGTCAAATTTTCCCTCCAGCCCCTCTTCTTCCCCCTTTCTCAGAATGTTTAACACAGACAGTCATCCTCGACACCCTGAACTGGGCCAGCCTTTTCTTTTTACGAGCCAACAATTTGTGAAGCAGCTGGTCAGGTCCAGACATTGAACTGAGACATCTCTCTACATAATGAATTATAGCTGGAGTAGCAAGGAGTAAACATTTTACATCCTTTCTCCTTGGGACACTGAATATGCAAAGGGACAATGGCCAGACTTTCTATAAAATATATAAACAGAACTCTAGCCTACAACATGGATCAAGCATTCCCGGGACTCAACCTAGTCTAGACAGAAACCAGCCCAAGAACCCAAACTATTCTCTGTAGCAACTAGTCTGGGAAGGCAAATAGTAACTCCCGTAGCAGTCAGCCTCAAATGGTCAAAACTTGATTAAATAAAGGACAGTTTCTCTAATTTTAGTTTCAATTCCAATTTAGAACTAACCAGAGAAAGTCACATACACATTCCTAAACAATCACATAAAAGTCCCCCTTCAAGCTAGCTCACGTACAGCTTCCCCATGCCAATAGCCTTCGATCAGGGCTCACCTGAAGCTATCTTTTCCCACTAGAAAGCTTTTCCATTCCTCTGGCTACCTTCTGAGTCTTTGTCAAATCCAAATAATGATGGCAGAGTCCCTAGCTTTGCCAGCCTTCGCTTGTTCTCAGTTGGGTGGTCTTCATGCATTTCCACAACTACAATAAAGGTGCTACATGTCTGAAACTGCTCTTTCATGCTGGAAATAGTTGTACTTTAGGGAGGCTAAAAGCACAGAGCATTAAGGGGAGAGTGTAAAGTGGCTGTGGTTAAGAACATAAGCCTTGCTTGTATCCAGGCTGCCATGGTTCAAATCCTGACTCTGCCACTTCCAGCTGCGTAAACTTGGGCAAGTTACTTGGTGAATGTGTATTAGTTTCCTCACTTGAATAAAACACTGGTGACAATAACAGTACCCAACTCATAAGGTGACTGAAGAGGTTAAATGAGAAAACCTGTGGAAAGCATGAATATGTGGCGCTTAATGTAACTCAGGAAGAGAGGGTGAGAAAGAAGAGAGAGTGAGCAGCAACATTGCACTGATCTACCTAAGCAGCAGGGATCAGGAACCGAGCGCTGACTACCCCTTTCAGATGGGACCTTACGTTCTTTCATTTTCATCTCTCCACCAACCTGCTTTGCTCAAGTATGATACCTACCTGGCCCCAGTCGATCGATAGACTGGACTAAAAACATGTTTCTTTCACAAATTGGGTGACTCCAGTAAGTTTAAAGGTGCAAATATTGCCCATGCCACGGGCCATCTCAAAAAGGATTTCACCTCACAAATGCATCCTGGAAATCTGTTTTTCAGATATTTAAGACAAATAGTCTTATCTGAGATTTGTACCAAAGGGCCATAATTAAAAATTACAGGGCTTAAAATGGATATACCATGTTTATATAACTAGAAACCCGATGCCACAATTCCAGAAAGTACGACCGAATCATTCAACAACAAACAAAACTTTCTCATCACAAGTCTTCTGCTTTTCTTGGTAAGAAAAATTGCTATTTCAGGCGATTAAAGCTAAATTGTTTGTCATAATTGTGTTTATTTTTGGCTCCCATTAAATGTGACATCACAGAGTATCAAATCTAACCAAATATGCCTATACTTAACAAAACAGAGATTTTTTTTGTTTGGATTACTTCTGGTTTACACTCGACACTTCCAACAGGCAAGCTCCTCAACCCTCCAAAGTCTGCACAAAATAACCTTCAAGGCCAATTTTCTAAATGAAAATAAACAGCATTTCGGACCAGCAGGTGGTATGGTGGTTAAGGCACTGGATTCTCACACAGCTGACCATGGTTCAAGTCCCAGACCTGGTGGCTCGATTTCTCACTTTACCTCTCTCTGTCTCGGTCTCTTTCTGGTCAAATTTCAGTAATAATAATAATAAATGAAGTTAAAATAATTCTTTAAGAAAATGAACAGCATTTTTTGGACTACATTATCATTCCACCAGATTGAATAAATAAGCAAGATAAATATAATTACTACAACCAAGAGGCACATTAATCATAAATGGTACTTTAGTATTTCACTTAAGTAGGGGACTTGAGGGTGCATTGAAAACACCAAAGGATAAATACCTTGAAGTTCTATAAATGGTTTAATTTGGGGCCAGGTGTGGTGGTTAAGGCGCTGGACTCCCACTTGATCAACTGCAGTTTAAGGGCCAACCCCGCAGTTTGAAAAATCACCATGCCCAAAATCTTCAGAGGAAAATGGAAGAGAAGGGATTACAATGTGGCCAGAGAGAGAGAAAGCGAGAAATCACTTCTCAGGGGGATGGCGCCGCAATCCCTTCTCCATTCTCCTCTCGGGATCTTGGGCACACATGCGCGCGGCATGAGTATAAACTACCATATCCGGGACTCGAACCCCGGTAGACTAAATGGGAGTTCAGCGACATAGCCATTATGTCAACTGCTGGTCCCAGGAGGGAGTGATTTCTCACTTTCCCTCTCGCTGTCTCTCTCTGGAGAGCACAGAAGCCCTATAGCAAAAACAAAATCAAAAACGAAACAAAATAAATGAAATAAAAATGGTTTAATATGAAAATCATATTCTAGAAAGATTCTGCACAGTGGCAAGAAGAAACCTTATGTACGTCATTATTTTAATACGAGGAGCCAAGCAGGGCAGGGTTAGCACATATACATGAGATGCTGTCCCGCAGGAATCTGTCCTTCCCAAACCTGGGCTCACTCCCTGTTGCAGTGCTACCCAAAGTTTCCTCGGAAGACGAGGTGCTAGGGGCTGGGTTTCGGGGGTCTCTTCGTCCTTCCCAGGCAGAGGAAGAGGCAGGTTCCCCGCCCCGGGTCGGCACGTTGTCCCCGGCCCCGGGTCGGCGCGTTGTCCCCGGCCCGCCGGCACTCACCCAGGCCGCGCCAGCCCAGCGCGCCATCGCAGCTGTCCAGGACCGTGCACAGCTGGCCCAGCAGCGTCGGCGGCAGGTCGAACAGCAGCGTGTGCGCGGACAGCGAGCGACTGGGCCCGCAGCTCCCCGCCATGGCTCCGCCGGACCTCCTGGCAAGCGCACGAGAGATGCGGAGTCCAGGCCTCACACGCCCGTGAGGACCCGTTACACAACCGCGGAAATCCTGCCGCCACGACGGCGGCCAAAAACCTCAGGACACGCAGTGCCGGAGCCCTGGAAGGGGCGGGCCCCACGTGACTCACAGCGCCGCTCCCGGCCGGCTGGGCTCCGGGTCGCCCTGGCCTGGCTCGCCGGTGCTCCTGGGCTTCCCAGTGAGCTGCACCTTCTTGCCTCTAGGCTGGGGACTGACTGCAGAGGGTGAGAGCTGGAGACAGACCAGAAGTGCGGGACTCGGGGAGCACACCCCACCCGCTGCCTGCCCCAGGATAAGTTCGTGTTGTTTCATTCTGTCAGAAAAGAAGTACTGAATCTGTTTCCTGAGGAACATTTGGAAAACTCAGAAAACAAAAACAAAACAAAACCATAGAAGAAAATAACCCTCATAACCACACTCAGGTGGAGACACCCACTCTAAACGTCGTGGTACACATTCCTCCCACTTTTACTGAGTTTAAACAGTTGAAAATGTGCATATATATGGGACAATTATAGGGAAGATGGGTATGAACAGCAACGACAGTGAAAAAAGAGAGAGACCAAATCAGAGTAAACTTGTGTTCATTTTCCGCACCAGGTGCCACCTCCTCCATGCTGCTGTTTGGTTTTACTACATGTTTCTGCCTCTGGGCTTCCCTGATGAAATATTGTTCGACCACTTTTTCCTTCCTCAAAGTGCTCTACAGAATCTTCCTTTACTTTCAACACAAGGTTTAAGTAAAACTGCCTGTTGTTTTGAAATCCTCTACTGTTTATAGTGTAATATCTTACCATAGGCATGATACAAATTGGAAGAAAAAAGGAAGAGTTTCGAAAGAGGCGTCAAGAATCTGAACCTTTATGGCCGGAAGAGTAGGCAGCAGCCATTAATTGAAAAAACAACATCCCAATTTGCAACACTTCAGGTTGCAATTTTGGGAAACAGAGCCCTGAGAGATCAAAAGTGATGATATATTATCATTTAATATCCCTACTTGAATTTCCAAAAATTATTTTCAGCTAAAATATTCCACAGTACATACTTGATGTCGAGCCAAAAAGAACAATACTAAAGAAAAAATTATAAGGAAAAGGGGAGTTTATTGGTCTCATAAAACTAGCATCAGGTCAGACCCACCAGTAGCATGGCCAGATGGAAATGGCAACATGTCCACAGACCCCCCAGGGCTACAATACAGGTGAGTTGTTTTGAGAGAGCTTACATTGGACAAAGTGAAGAGGAAAGTCTTGAGAGATGGTGGAGGCCTGCAGGCTTGGGTCAGAGTCCATTAAGAGGAGCTGACTGGAACACTTTATTCACAGTCATGGTAGTCTGTTTAGCAAGATGCGTGGTCACCTAAAGGAGACCACAAACCTGAAATTATCTTGAGAAAGGTCTTGTGACAGTCAGCCACTTAGTTAATAGGGAGTAGCTGCAGCATCTCCGCTTCCTCCAACCCTTATTTTTTTGTTTCATATAATAGTCTTTTTTCTAGATAAACTTCATCTTCACACTGACAGTTGGTAAAGCGGGTTCTATTGGGGCAGGAATACTGGCATTCTTTTGTTCAAAGGACTAAGGTTTATTGTCAGTCTGTACACATTTATGTAGTGCTGTATCTCTTAAAGGGACTGTCTAAAGACACTGAGCAAGGGGCAAGATCACTATGTGGTAGCTCTTGAATAACTACAGCATGAAATATGAACTGAAAAATGCAGAGAAACCAGGAAGTTATTGTGGTTGAGAAAAGTAGTCAGAAAGGGCCTGCTTGACCAAATCTTCTAATTTACCAAGAAGCACAGATGTTTATGTGAAAGTTCTATCAGTGTTCCCAACCTTCCTGGCATCAGGGACTGCTCTCATGGAAGACAATCCTTCTAGGGATGGGAGATGGGGGATGTTAGGAGGAAGTGGGGGGGAACTACACTTCCTGGGATGATTCAACTGCACCTCATCTACCATGCACCACATTGCAATATACAATGAAACAATCATACAACAATAGTTTGTCCTCCCATGAGAATCCAATACTGGCACTGATCCAACAGGAGGTTGAGCCCTGGCAGCAATGCCAGTAATGGGGAGTGGCTGCAAACACAGATGAAGCCTCCCTTGCTTGCAAGCCACCCTCTGCTCCACAGCCCAGAAACCGACACCGGTTCACAGCCTGGCCCCCAACAGACCATGGACCGCCACTTGTCTGTGGCCTGGTGGGTGGGGACCTCTGAGCTAGATTATATGAAAGTCCCTGTGTTTTTCAGTATTGGTGGTTATTATTCCACCATGTCCCCTCCTGTTCCCTAAACTTCCTTTGAGTTTTATGCTTTATATCTGTTTTTATTACTCACCACTCTTCATTGTTGCTGTCACCTAATTTTCTCCCACACTCCAACTCTTTCTAATTGTTAAACTCCATAGCTCCTGGCTCACTGTCATTCTCTCCAATACTAATCCTATCTTACCTTTTGGTGATTTCAAATATATGCAAAATAGATGATAATGTTTCTAACTCCTAGTCTCTCAATTCCTAACTCCTTCCCTCCAGTGAGCTTGTGTTCCACCCTATTTCCTATTTCAGCCACTCACTCCATGAGCAACTCCTAGAACTTGTCATAACTGGCACATTTGTACCTCATCCATAAAGTCTCTTTCATGAACCTGCTCACTGATCAGATCACTTGTCCTTCTAGCACATTCTCTCCAGTATTCTTGTCCTAATAATCCTTCCCTCTCACTAGTATGTCTGAAAATCTTGCTGCCTCTTTTATGGCCCCACCCTTTTGATGTCCTCATTTTTCTCCTTATTCATAAAGCCCAAGGTCAATTATTATAATCATTAACTTGCATATGCTCACTATTACCTTGCTTCTTTTTTTACTTTGTTGAACTCTTTTGGCAAATCTACCATCCAAATTAAATCCAATTTTCCAATTTTTGGCAACATCCCCATGCACCTGAATATAGTTGGAAAAAATCCAAAATCTTACTAATTGGACTCCATTTAAAATTAGGGATAGGACTGTTAAGTAGGTCTGTTATGCTGCCAGGCAGTATGTGCCTTTAGTACATTTATTCTTTTGGTCACCTTGAGAATTATTTCATGCGTTCTCTTTTACCACTTTCCATCTCCTTCCCATCCTCGTGCTCAGCTGATGACCTTGGGAATATTTACAGGTAACACTGCTGCATCAGGAAAAAAAAAAAAGAAATTCCTCAGAAGCTTATTCCTACACTGACCTACCTACTTTCATCTGTACCAGTATATACTTTCTGTCCCTTTCCCATAGATGAGATATCTAGGCTCTTGTCTAAATCTAACACCTTTATGTACTAGATACCAATGCTATCCCCTGTTTAAAGGCCTCAAGGGCAGCTATTCTCCTTGCTTTCTCCTACATTATTTATTTCCCACTCCTATCTGTCTCAATTCCATCAGCATACAAATATGATGTTATTGCTTCTACCTTAAAACAAACAAAAATGATTTCATACAACTTTCCCCTTCCATTTGTCTATTTCTTTCATCCGTTTGGCAGTAGAGTTGAATATTCTCACTGTCTCCCATTTTTATCATCCTGTTTTCTCTTAAACCCATGCTAATTGGAGTTACATCTCTCATCTTCCTCCACTGAAATTGCTCCCCTTTCAGGGTTCACATCACTGCTGAATAAAATAGTCAATGTTCAATCATCCAACTTGACCTGTTGGTAGTTTTTGACACAGCCATTTGCCTCCTCCTTGGAAGCTTTCTTCATTCAATTTCTAAGACACAACATCCTCTTGTACTTTTCATTTGCCTCACTGGTCACTGTTCAGCTTCCTCTGCCATTCCTCCTTTTCTCTCTGAACTCTTAATGTTGGAGTGCCCCAAGGATGCAACCCATGGTTCTTCTCTCTATGCCCTACCATTTTCCCTGGGATCTTCTCCAAACCCCTTAAAATTCTAGATATACCCACTCCCTCAATCAGTTTCAAGGCTTTAACTACCATTTATATGCCAAGGACTGCCAAAAGTGTATATCTAGCCCAGATGTCTTTTTTTTTGGAGAGGTTTTTGCTATAGGGCGCGTGCGCTCACCAGACAGACAGAGAGAGACATAGAGACAGAAAGCGAGAAATCACCCCCCCCAGAGGGGATGGTCACGCTGCAATCCCTTCTCCTCCATTCTCCTCTCGGGATCTTGGGCACGCATGCACACGCGCCGGCATGAGTTTTAAGCCACCAGGTCTGGGACGCGAACCGCGGTCGACTACGTGGGAGTCCAGCAACATAGCCATTATGCTAACTGCTGGTTCCCATAGCCCAGATGTCTCTTGAACTCCAGAGTGATACACAAAATTGAACTCTTGATCATACTTCCTGAACCTATTCTTCCCACATTCCTTTCATATAAATTAACAGCAATTCCATTTTTCCAGTTGTTTGAATCAAAAACTATCAAGTTCTCTTAACGTCTCTATTTCTTCACAGCCAACCTTTGATCCAATAGCAAATCCTGTTGATTATACTTAAAGTATATCAAAAGTCTGACTAGGTTTCCTACCTCGAACACTGCCATCTGGATTTAAGCCACTGTCATATCTTGCCTGAACAATTATAGTAGCCTCCTAACTAAGTTTCCACTTGCGCTCCCTACAGCCTTTCCTCAACACAGCAGCCAGACTGACCTTTTTAAATCATATCTGATCATGTCTCTCCTCTGTCCACAAGCCAGCAGTGGCTCCTAATTTTAGTAGCTAAAAGTAAAACTCTTTACATGATCTGCACTCTCCTTTTTCTTCTCACTTTACTCTTTTATCCTCTGGTCTTGCTTTCATGTTCATTCTGCTTAAGCCACATTGCATCCTTGCTAGTCCTTAAACATACTAGAGAGAGTCTAGTTAGAGTCTTTGCACTTGCTACTCCCTGGCCTTGTATATCTTTCCCAAGTGGCTAAGGTCTAGTCTGACTTCCATATTTAAAATTTCAGTGGTTCACACACTCAGATTTTGACTGAAATTGGTCCAATAATATATGATTTGAGACAAATATATTACTATGCCTTAGAGCATAGGAAGCACCACCACTTGGGAGGCTA